CGATAGTTATAAATACATTTCTTTTTCAACTTAAACATTTTCTATAACGTTTTTGCACTGTTTTTGCTTACTTTTAAATATTCTTGGTGTCTATTCGATTTTGTGTAACGCAGTATGTTTCGGAGTTTAAAAAAGTTTTAAATAAAAGGACGGAAAAAGTATATTTATAGAAATTAACGTTTCTGAAAAAAGTGCGTGTAGATATTTTGAAAGAGTTTTGTTCAGCGCGGTATTTGCTTACCTTCGTAAGAGTCCGGGGGTGTTCGCGCGCTCTCGGGCGCCTGTGAAGGAGACGCGTGCTCTTCGCGATTCGGTCGGACGAGCTGAACGCGGCGGGCGGGTACACGGGCTCGCCGTGGCCGCCGCTGGACCTAGACCCCGTGGGATGGGGACGCAAGCTGTACCCGACGGGAGCGCCGAGGTCCTCGGGTGAGTAACTTTCTGTTTTGTTTCCACATTTTTTTTATGAAAAAACTATCTCGAACGAGACAGTCATAACATCTATCGGTATACTTACAAACTTATTAGTTTCAAAAATAATAGACATAGTTACATTTTTATAAAAACAAAAACTTACAGAAATTTTCAAAGAAACGAATGCGTTTTGACACTATTTAATTTGCTATATACCTTTTTCTACCTTAAAAAACATAATATTTTTCATGTTTACCGTAATATGTGACCTTTTCCGATTGAGTATTTATTTGAAACAGTTAGTATTTTTTTATTTATCTTATTAGCGAGATGAAACAAATATTACAATAACAATGTTTTATTTTATTAACACTATTTAATAACAAACGAGTGAAGCTCTTTACAAAGTCAAACAGTCGTTCTGAACAAAACTTGTCGGAACTTCGCTTGTAAAACGTGTTTTGGTAAGCGATGCTACAATTATTCTCAAGTTCTGAAATTGAGTTGTGTAGGATTTTATTTCTTAAGTATACCTGACTGGTAAAATGTAATAAATATCAGTTCATATCTTAGAGATAAGTATTTTTCTTTATACTCATTCAAGATTCTTCAAACTAGAAATATTCATTTACTTTTATTACTTACTTTTTTTATAAATTTAACTACACAATTTATTTGAACATGTTAAAATCTGTTAAACATTTTAATATTGATTAAACTATGAACTGTACTGTTAATCTATACTAGAAGGTATAGAGTGGAGAGATATGTACTTTTGTATAATACATTGAAATAACACAAAAGTTACTGGCCGATTTGAATAATTCTTATATCATTAAAAAGATACGTTATCAACGAGTAACATAGGGTATGTTGTTATTTTTTTTTTAAATCTAATGCGGATGAAGTCGCGAGCAATAGATACAGTACATAACTATTATACCATTTATTAGGAAAATTCCATTTAAAATTATACATAGTAATATACATTGTAGTATTGACTACTTGTAGTGTTTCTTATTGACAACTAAGGAGACCATGTACTTAAATGAATGACAAAATTCAAACTACGGGCTAATGTCAGTCCAGAGCTAATATCAATTACTTAGATCTCCCATAGAATTCGCTTCTTAGGACCATCAAGTAATATACTAGACAATATTGTCAAGAACTGTCCGATGACATTTTGTGGTTCTTCTGCAGGTGGGTTAATGTTCGGGCTGCACCACCAGGAAGCGGCGGGAGGGCTGGCGCAGCCACGCGGGCCCGTCACCTCGCTCAAAGAGGAGCCACTGGCCCGCGCGTGGATGACACCTGGCGCACTAGTTGACAACACCAAGTGAGTTTAATTCCACAACTCCACTGCACTGACACTCGTACACAAGTGTTATCAAATCTAGATTCTAATATTGTTTTACTGGTAAATATAAAACGTTTAAAGTCTTTAAAAGCCTTTTAGCACATTGTTAACTATTTATTTCTATTATAAAGCACTTATTAACTAACTAAATGTACAAAATAAACACTTATCACATAAAATAATACAACCCTTGTATATATGAGGTATATTTTTTATGCTCTTACTAGTGTATTGAATCAAAACTGTTTCCATTTTCTAGATTTTAGCAATACTTTCTTAATTCAGTAACAGATGTACCAACTAAATACTACGGTTGGGTATTTTACAAATATAAATAATCCTTTATTTACACACTTTTATTAAGCCTGTTAGTACCCGAAAAGAGCAGCCCACTAAACAAATTGTATTAAAGCCCACAGAGCCGGCAAACCGAAACAAACGGCAGCTCGATGGTTAAACTAAACTAAATAACTAAGAGAGATTATGTTTCCATGAGATTATCATCTTGTTGAATGGGGGACCTTTGTTTAATGTCAAACACAATTTCTATTGTTTTCAATATAGATATATATATAATAATTCTTAATTTATTCATTGAAAATGAAATTTGAAAATTTATTTATTAAATTATTTAATACTTCTTTCTTAGAGAACATATTTTGACGCAATAAGTGTACACACATTTTGCTCAAAAGTACAGTTTTAGAAAATCGGTGAATATGAATAATAAGGCATCATTTATTTTTATTGATCAGAATCTTTGTTAACTATTAAATGCAGATGAATGCGTTTATTTCCATCCAAGATATGTCCATTTTAATGTTATAACTTGAGTTGTCAAGTTAAATGAGCATTAGAAACTTAATTATTTCATAATTTTCGCTGGTTTATGAAAGAAAGTAATCTTTGATACTATAAACTTAGTGCCTATAAAGTGAACTTGTCGATACTACAATGGCTTCATTACACGGCGTGTCCAATCAGGGTTGCTGATAATGAAGCGGTACCCGTAACAAGTGTATTCATAAGCGGTAAGGGCGCGATAAATCATTGCGTGGTAGGGGACGCCGCGCCATTGCGGTTTTCGAAATGTTGCACTCAAATTAAATTTGTTATGTATTGTTATGCTTTTAATTTTAAAGATATACATATTTGTTTGTAGCAAATAATCTTTGAAAATATTTGAATATAGTTTTTAACCTCTATGTTATAAATAATTGAATACGCCTAGTGAGTTCGAATTTCTAATCAGGCAAGATTTTCACGGTTTTTTTTTGTATCCAGTAATTAACATATTAAGACAGATATTAAGACTAGAAATGTCCCAGTGGTATTTGTTGTATATCTATTTCATTCACGTTTACGTAAAATATCTAGCTTCTCTTTTTGACCGACTTCCCAAAAGAAGGAGGTACTCAATTCGTCTGTATGTTTTTTTTTTTTATTAACAACCAGGCGTAGAGTATAAAATTGTAGTTAAACCGCATTGATAATGTTTGTTTATGCAATGGACCACAATACTACAAGTAAATACAAATAAAATTCGTTTTTATTCCAAGAGGTATAAAGCTTAAAATCAAGCGACTGAAAAAAACGGGCTCCGTATTTGTTGTAAGCCCTCCTGACATCTGTTATGTTTTTCACTGCGGTTTGTTCCTTTAAATGTTTATTCAATTATGGATCACTTGTTTATTTAACTATGCAATTAATTATTTTACACTTAAAGTAATAATAATTAATGGTCCAATAACCTTAATTTTTGGTGTATCTTTGTTTGAAAATTTATTGACTAGGTTTTTTTTTGACAAAATGTAATAATGATAGATGTATTTAGTATGTTAAAACATTGTTAAACCACGAGTTTTAAAGTAGCTCTCGGTTTGATTTTGTCAGTAACAGAGTACCGTTTTCCTTTCGTATTCTCGTTTCGTTACTTTCTATTCTTGTTTAATTTAATGAAACAAAATGCTGTGTTAATTATAAAAATATTTGCTTAATAGAAATATTTCGAAATGACAAATGCCCACAAATGACCGTCCTTCAGCGTTGACAGATACATTTATAAAGTCGGCTTTGAATCACCGACCTCGCCCTGGACTTATTAGACGCACCATGTTCGTGGGATTGCGTCCACCCGACGGTAATGATGGACATTTGTTGTCTTCATACATTTTATTAATTGAAAACAAGGAAATTATCATATTACTATAATATTCACGTTTATATCTTACTGATTTAGATACGCAGAATATAGAAATTAAAGAATGTTTTTTTAAAAGGTAGTTTTTGAGTTTATTTGCAAGAAGTTATTTGTTGAAAATTTAACTTTCAATTCGCTTTTGATGATGAAGTACTCTGTAAAAGAAACATAAAAAAATGTTCCACAGTCGTATCCCAAACGAAAATTCCACGCGAAGATGTTTGTATAAAGAAAAAAGTAAATCACAAAAGGGATTGACAAATCTAACGTGATCTGTAAGCGAAAAAAGTGCTACGACCTAATCGCGAGCGCGCTGCCAAAAACTGGTAGCGATAAATAAAACAATGGAGCGTCGCGCGCGAGAGTATAAAATGGCAATCGCGAAACCAATTTGTTTACGCAAATTCTGCAGCGGAGAGAGATGAATGGCCGACCATAGCGTAATACGGTCCTACCCGCTGCTGTACTTCTAGTGCTGTCTGCGCGCACGCTATAAATTATATCGATATACTTTAGTTAACATAATTTACTAGCCCCGATACTAACTACGCTGCATGTTATGTCTAAAGCATTTTTCTTTCTAACATTAGCAAACCCATAGAAAACGTGAATATTGGACATCTATGCGGACTGCAAGATCGGAATTGTAATTAAAGCGTACAAAATTCTCAAAGATTAGGGCATTAACATCATTTGTAGCTATTTTTTTCCTAAATTTTAGGTTAATGTTCTATTATACAAACATGTCACTTCGTGCATAACAATAAGAGTGACAATGGCATTGACTTTTAACTCATTTTGCCATATGTCGATATCGAAGCGGGTGGCACTATTTATGTGTCAACACTTTGTTTTGTATAATCGATATTTTGGGCTATTAAGATTTATTGTTTTATGTAATAAACGAGTTCAGTTCAATAGTAATAATAATATATTTTTTAATAAATATTTTTCAGTTATACCATTCTTAAACACAAAATCAAATTTTGAAATACTGTATACATTTATAAGTAAAAAATCTCGTGATTTGTTCGTATTGAATAATTATATGTGACGTATGCGCCATGTGGAAGAAATAAAAAATGACTTGCAATAATTTCTAAACGTCTTCTGTAAGTGAAATGTCACATAACGGGTTGTAACAAAAAACGTCAACCATTTGACCGCACCTCAAAACGGTGACGATCGTAAATCAATTTTAAAACTAACATGATCTATTCCATTGTTTTCATTCAAAGCGGTAACAGTTTAACGGTGGCTCAAACTGGTGGCAAAATGTCTGAATCCATTGACAAATAGCGGTAGAAATATAAAAGGTCCATGAAAGATGTTTAAAATTTACGACCGACTTATGGGTGTTCACTGAAAGGAATTTTTTGTTGTCAATTCAATAGCAGATTACGGTTGCGGTTTGTGACTTTGTTTCGCTATTGAATGTTTATTAGTAGTGCTATATAACCTTGCATACCGGTTTCGTGTTTGTAATAACTATGAGAATATCTGTCATAATTGGTGTCTAAAAAGTGTCTTAACAAAATCGTACTTCTTTTTTCCATGACTATATTTTAAAATTAAACCTCATTACAACATTTTTTTTAACTAACACAGTATTATACATATATAGTAAATACTTAAGAGCATAAAATACTTAAAGAACAAAGAACCCAGCTAACAACAATTCACTTAATTATTTGTAAAATGTAAGGCAAAATAGGTAAGCCTGACATGAGAAGTTAATAATTTAATTCTATCTAAGCATCCATATCAATTTAAGAGCACAAAAAATATCTCATATTAAAGTACCTGTCTAATGTGAATTGTTTAAACTTTTTAACGGTTTATTGAATTAATTCATATCATTATTCCAAGCAGCAGCGTGGGTGTGGGACGCGCGCACTTCGAGAAGCAGCCGCCCAGCAACCTGCGCAAAAGCAACTTCTTCCACTTTGTGGTGGCGCTGTACGACCGCGCCGGACAGCCCGTCGAGATTGAGAGGACAGCTTTCATTGGATTTATAGAGAAGGATCAAGTGAGTTAGTGCATTTAATTTTAAAAAATATATATTGTTCTTTGATATGTAAAGAACATTAAAGGTTATCATTGAAAAACAAAAACATTTTATAAAATACTTACATTACATATCGCCCACTCCTTGAGTAAGACATATCTCACACTTTTTTTAAAATTTGGTACCTACTCTTTTTACAAATGGCCAGTACGTTTAAGAATAGGTTAGCTTCCTGCTTAATATTCAACTACATTTAAAAAAAAACCCTAAATAAAGCACTAAATCGTATGCAGGTAAATCATACTTCATACTAATATTAAAAATATGAAAGTTTATCATAGATGGATGGATGGATGTTTGTTTGTTAAAGTTTGTAGCCTAAACTGCTGGATTTCGATGAATTTTGGTATAGATGTAGAGGATAATCTGGCATAACACATAGGCTACTCACTTTCGTGTTATTGAATTCCACCCGGACGGAGTCGCGGGTGAAAGCTAGTTAGTTCTATATTTTTTTCCGTTAGTGAATTTAACAGATAATATTCTTTTGTGTTCCAATCGTCATTAAGTGTTGCTTATCAATAAATCCTTAAACATCGATGGTATCGTGAATTAAAGCGGTCCATCAATCAGGCTCCGTCCGACGTCATGTCTATTGTGTGGTACAATGAACATTTACATAATTCAGACCCGACGTATTCGTGGCCTGCGACAATTCGATACTATAAATTGTTGATCTATGTATACTACGTATGAAGCTTTTGTTTAAAACTCAATAAAGATAACTGTAAATACGAACAGATGTGATACGAATATCCGTATTTATCTGAAAATTTATTAAAATTGATTTTTGTTAGATGAAAACGTGAAATGGAACTTCGAAATTTATAAACTCTGATTCATTTATCTAAAGAAATAGTACAAAGAGGAAAGATTTGTATTTTTGTATGTATTGAAAGTACTCAATACTACTGGGTCGATTTTAAATATTTTTTCGCCATTAGAAAGGGAATTAATTGTGATTACATAGGCTACATTTTTTTATTAGTAAGAATATAAAATCTTCACATAGTTTATAACATAGTTAGTTAATAGTAACACATTATATTACATAGTTAGTTAATAGTAACATTTAACATAATTTAATTTATTAAGATTTTTATTTTTTCTTAATTCTACAGGAAGCGGAAGGACAGAAGACTAACAATGGAATTCAATACAGACTTCAACTGCTGTACGCTAATGGTGAGCTTTTACTTATTTTTACTTGGTTTAATTTAAAAAAAAATATTTTTTACTTTAAAAACGTTTATGGATTTGAAACCTATAAAGACAATTTCATTAAATAAAATTTGAACTAAGGCAATCAATATTAAATCAATTTCCATTTAAATTAATGTGACATTAATTCGGCATTTTTATGATAAACGACATAACATATTTATTTATCACTAAGCTCCTACTTGCTTAGACTTTGTATGAATATTTAAAATGGATAGACAAGAGGAGACTGTTTTCTCTGTTGTCTGCTGATTGTCTGTGCCGCACGCATTGTCTATCCGATTTGCTCCCATTGTCTTGTCTTTGCCTTTGTATAGAATCAGGTAAACGCTATGTTAGTCTAATAGAGACTGATAGCTTAGAATTTCTATCTAATTATTTATAATGTTGCATTAAAGTTCTGTCCATAGCTATTTTGATCATTTGACTATCAAAATAAATCTTTTATAATTAATAAATTATTTTCCGTAATTATTACAATGTTGAAATAAACCAAAACTATTAGAGATTTAAAGACATTTTTAAAGATATATTATATATTAGTTTATATTTAAATATTAATAGATTCAATAGGACTCTAATTGACTTTATTAAAAATGAAATCTCAAAAATTATATTCCCTTATATCGAAGCACGAAACCCTGTATAATGCTTCATTTTCATTCAATTACGTGGAAAATTAGTCCCGTTAAACTCGACGGTTTTTAATTTGCCCGCACCATGTCTATTATTTTAATTCTTGTCGCGTGGAAGGGAAAAAAGAGGAGAACGTGTGGAGGCAATTTCAGGAGGTTAACAAATTGTGCAGTCTGCCTCTACAAGGCTACGTCTGTAGCTACGCCGTAGCCGGCGCGCTACGATCTTTATTGCTACTATGTGTAAACGTTACTGCTTGCAACAACAAAGCATATTTATTTTGTAAAACATACGTTGTATTTCAGAATTTAATTTTATTTTATTTTACATCAATTCTATTGATTATTAAATACTAGTCATTATTCAAAACAGATTAGATTCACACATTTTATAGATGTAAAAAAATACAAAAGATAGTCAAACTACTTTATGCATATAAACATAGAATTTATTTGTAAATAATACATTACCTTATTGTTTATCAGGTATACGACAAGAACAAGACATCTTCGTTAGGCTCATTGACTCCGTCACAAAACAGGTGAGTACATTTTAGAAACTTCATTCTTTATTAGCATCAAATATCTCTTAAATAAAGATCCTTAATATTTTAACACAATATATCTTTATTAATATTAGTTACATAGCTCCTAAATCAATTTATCTAAACATAAAAGAAAACAACAGTAATTTGCCATTACGAATAACTCTAAAAAAAAAGATTTTTCTATTAATATTTCGAGACCTCAGCGTCCAGTTTACACGACTCCGCATGAGAAGCTCCCTTCGCTTGTGGCTCCTCTGCGCTCGGGCAGCGCACGTGACATACACGCGTTGGTCACGTGACTTGTTGGCAGATTTTCATCGCCGTCGCCCGATTAGAACCTAATCCACACGCCCCTCACTACATAGAATTGGCTTGCGTTCAGAACAATCATTAACATTATCTCGTGTTGCAAACTTTATTTCGCTGCACTTTTGTAATTCGACTTCGAAAGTGCGAACGGGTGTCGAGTTCCTCTTTTGTGCTGTATCACAAATAAGTTTTGACTGGCAGGGATAGGGTTAAATAATGTGGACACTCATTGTGAATTTCTCTCGATTGGGTATAATTACGTTGTAATATAATATTTTGTATTACGTAATACTTTGTCGCTTAAAATATTCATTGCGCTTTGATTGTTCGCGTTATTTTTGAGTTTACAACAGTAATTTAATATAGAAGTATACACTTTAGTGTTATTCTGTCTCTGGGAGTAACAAGAAACAAGCAAAGAATATTAGCAAGTCCAGTGTTATCAAGCATACTTCGCTCTTTAAATTGATTATACAAAAATGTCTGATTCTAAATGGTCTGTAATTAGAGGCTTATGACAGTAAAAAGGTTTGATATAATTCCTTACTTCCATTGAATTCGACTGCAAGTGTAATTGTCAAAGAAGCGATAAGTGTAATGATAACGAATGACTTAGGCTATATACATAGCGGCACAAAGGGTACAAAAGGCACCGGCCGTGTGTAGCAATTATCACGCTTGCTTTTATTACATAAATAACAATTTTAGCGCTCGAAGCCATCATGAAACTTCACCGTGTGCCCCACATATATAATTTCAACACGTCCCGAGCTCTTAGTGTTGTGTAACAAGAGGCCAATTACGAAAGATTTATGCCTTGAACATAATTAACTCGGCCCGAACGTTGTTAACTAAGAATTACGTAGATACGTTTGTACCGTATGTAGGTGCTTATTGCACGTATCCGCGACGTATGTTTTATAACTTGCGTTATTCACGCCAAAGATAAACATCTCTCAAATATATTTACTATGATTTGAAATGGGTTTATGTGATTTAAAATAGAAATAATTGTATTCAAAGAAACTTAGCAAGAAGTTTATGTTCTCATATTATCTTAGTAATATTATAAATGCGAAAGTTTAGATGGATGAGTTTTTGTTAGTTTGTAGCCTAAACGGCTGAATGGATCTCGATGGAATTTGGCATAGATGTAGAGGATAGTCTAGAAGAACATATAGGCTACTTAATTTTTTTTTTTATAAAGCGCGGATGGAGTCGCTGGCGAAAGCTAGTGAGAACAAAACTTATTGCTATTTCAAGTAACATTTTCGTTTTAATTAATCTAAGTTTCTTTAAATACAAATATTTCTATTTTAAATGACATAAACCCAAACAACTATATTATAGTATGTTAATTTTGTACAATATCAATGATTAAATACACTTAGTAAAATGTATTACATACGAGAGGAGATTGACACGCAAAACAGTCATTCACTAAAAATTGCGGGAAGATGGCGTCCAGATAATAGTGAGTGGTCAGTTTAATTGTATTAAAACATCAGGCACACGACCAATCAGCTAATGTCCTGCGGTGCATGCGAGCCGAGCACGCGACAAGACTTTTGGACATTTCTCGATATTACATCCTTATGTTGTATTTCGATCAGATAGCCAACATTACAAGACAAAAAGGAATTGAAGCTTAAAACATTTTAAGTGTGGTATACGTACGTACATAAAGCTAATTATCAGTCATAATATTGAGGAAAGAAAATAAAAATACTCAAAAAAAATTATTAAGAGAGAAGATTTTAATTATACTCGTAGTTATCGTGACTAATTTAACTACAAGAAAGCGATTGTCATGATGTTGCTCACACAAAACTAAATTTATTCTACAACTTAAAAATAAATTTATTCTTAAATTATTTGACGTTAACTATCTCGAACGATATTTTTTAAAGCCTTAAGTCCATAAATTGTAATAACGGATTAAGAAACATGGTACTAAAAGGACGGAACCGTTCGCACACTAAATCACCATCATATCAATATCTAAATCATCAATCTGCCGACCCTCTGTTTGAATATAGTCTTAAGATACTGACTCGTGGGTCTCGGAATGAGATTCGCACAAATCCCATAGAAGTGCCGACCGTTCGCAAAGAGAGACGCGCGCAGCGCACGTGGCACAGTGATTGTGTTTACTTAACAACGTTCAAACAACATATTAATTTAGAACTTTTTGTTATAGAAAATGAGCTTTAGAAATCATTGTATGTCTAACAAGGGCTGGTAGTTGTTATCAAATAAATTACATACATTAATGATGTAGTCTTTATACAAATACAAAGCAACATTTATCAGTTTCATTAGACATTTTTGTTAAAATTATGTACACGGTCATATAACATGTAAAAACATATCTGCATATACTTTTAAACATTCAAAGTGCAAAAGCAATAATAGTAAAAATATGTAGGCGTATAACACTAGATGGTGCTGGCGAACGCGACGCGCTTTGTCGCTGGCGTAGCGACGCGGCGTAAATCACGCAGCTCTTGCCTTTTTAATGTCCTCCTTCTTATTTCTTGGCGTCTCTATTGCATTGCAAGTGCAACTTATCAGTGCAAACATTGCTTTAATATAGTACTTATACAGTACTTTTGAATATACATCATTGGAAAGTTTCAGATGTAGAACTTCACCGTTGTTTGTGCTACGTAATAAATATTTACCAACTATTATTAGTTGGTATAGATATTTATACGGATATAACTAGAAAATATACTGCCTACAAATCTAACTAAACAAAAACAGTTTGATACTTACATTTTTTTCCTTTTAAAAATATATTTCTTTAGATTCAAGTTGTAATTTCGTTTTATATCATTCTATTTATAAGAGCGTGATATCAGGATGAGATACCTTTTATTATTAATGAATTTTTACTTACCGTTTATTTTACATTTTTAAGACCGTCTTAAGATATAACGATAGATATCTACCTAAATTCAGTGAAAAGAAAATCTGTGTAATGTTTCGAGTCTTCAGCAAGCAGCGCAGCGTTGTCGCTCATGTAAATCACTAGACGAACTGGTGCACATTTCGCCCGCTCGCTATTCTTGTAAAGAAATTTTTATTTCTTGTTTGTCTATAAATCTAGGACAATGGTAGTAAAGTCTTGACATCTAGAATTTATTCTCTTATTTTACTATTACCGTTAATAATGTTTTAGTTGCTTTTATGTTGGTGTAAATCATTATTATGTGCAATTTAGCTTCGTATACGTTTATTTAAAATATTGATTGCTAGAAATGTATATTTAAAAATCACGAAGGTTAAGAAAATTGTGTAATAGAGTATTTATTTTTATGTAACTTTTAAATTTTATGATTTGAAAATTACACAGCAACAAAACTTTTTTCTTTCTTAAAAATCCTTTCATTATATTTGTAATTAATACAACAGTAATTAAACCACTCACAGTATCACTAAGTAAGTTTATTTTTTTGAACGTTGACTAATTCCCTTGAGATTGAATCCCATGCGACGGTGCGCGGTGAACCCGCCTCACTCACAAAGCCTAAGGGGCCCCGGGGAGGCGACAAGAAAAATGCCGGCTAGTTCCCTGCGAGATTACTACACTAACGGATGTAACCCGTATCTATAGTGTGTAGTCTAACATTTAGTTGTTGGCTACTTTATAAATGAAACGAATCGTCGCTTGAATCGAATGTGCTATTTTTAAATCGTTTGAAGTCTGTTCAACATTAAACTATTTTGACTATTGAATGAATGAATAAATAACTTTTAAAACGTATCTTTTTTATAAGACTGGCTACCGATAGTTAATTCGTTGACTCAGTTTACTAAACGATTAAAATCATACACGGTATCTATACTACTATAATAAAGCGTAAACACACACTTCTTTGTTGCCTGAGATGCTAGCAATTACATAATTTTGAATAATTCTTTTTTAATAAAAAGCTCTACATTTGCATCACGCTTTAGGATATATATTTTCACGCAATAAACTTAGGGGGTAAATATTTTGGACAAAAACCCTAATGTGGGAAAGGGACCATAAGTTGCTGACAACATTAAGGAAACAAGAATGCCAAGGTTTGTCACGTCATGTCAGGTTGACATTTGCTATTGATCATTTGACAAATGCAAACAATAAAATAGAATTTTCATAATACATAGAACAGCTAGTAAATAAATATTTTTCTAAACATCTGATGCTCGTTCCTAGTATGTTAACTAAATGTTTCCGATATTCTCTAACCATTCTTCCCCTGCATTTGTTTTGGTATGTTGTCAGGTTTAAATACTTTCGTATGATCCTTAAATACCTTCCTATGAAACACCCCACGAAGCTAAAATCCTTCCAAATCCCACGTACAAAAGATTGTAATACCCCCCTATTTCATATTCAATTAAACGTTTTGTTAGGGACAAAAATCTATCTTCAAGTATTTTGGGGAGATTACGGATACTAATATGTGTAGGGTAGTGCACCTCACTTTAAGATTGTTTTATTTCCATTACATTAAAAATTATAAAAACTTTATACACAGAAACAAAGCTAACTTACGTTAGTAATTACACTTGATAGAGTTTTATTTCATAGTAGTTTTTGAACGAAATTAAAAATTTAATAACTAGCCTATGTGTTTTTCCAGACTATGTTTGTGTTAAATTTCATCGTGATCCATTAAACTATTTGGGCGATATCTTTTAATTAACATCCATACATCTGAACATTCTCATTTATAACATTAGAAAACTAAGATTTTTAACATCCAATTACTACTGTAAAGTATTAAAAAATAATTCCTCGACCGTCGCACCCTATAGAAAAATTGAACGGAACGCATCTGGGATTATAGCGCACCCCGCGGCTTAAGGGCAACCAGTAATTAGATATTAATAGATAAACGAACCTGACACGTGTACGAGGGGAAGTTTATTGCGAGCTAAATAAAGTTTGTCGACTTTATACTCACCCATATCCTAAAATTATCTACATTGACCGAAAAAGGCTACTGCACCTGTAAAAAAATCATCATCACTATCCTTACCTTCCCACTAAGGGGATCTGAGACTACACTTAGTTACGGATGATTAGGCCTTAACCACGCTGGCCCAGAGCGATTTGGGTGACTTTACTAAAATCTATGAATACCTTCGCCGATATGTGCAGGTTGTATTACGATGTTTTCCGTCACCTCGCTCATCGACGCTCTATGACAGAAACACAGACGTCATGACGTCATCAGTTGTTTCGGCAGTGGAAACTGACGCTTACACAGAACCTAGTATAATCATTTGAATTCACTCAGGATTGTTCGTAAAGTAATATTTTAGATACAAATTAATGCAATCCTTAATTAAAGTTATTCAAGATAAAAGAGGGTGCAGCTAGTTTCAAAATTAAATAATTATAAAAATACTTAAATGTATGTTAGTTAAGATAACACAGCGTGATTATGTCTTTTGGGGTGCATAAATTAGCGAAATGTAATAACTTGATGAAGACCAAAAATTATCTTATCAGTACACTGATATTTTATCTCTTTAATTACATTTGGGAACCAAAAATATGACTGTGTGCCGCACTTCCAGTCGCTTAACAGTCCTTTAGCAAATATTTAATTACTGAATATACACTGACTACCTTACTGCGGTCACTAAAGCTTCTGATTGCGTCTGTATTATTGAATTGTTAAAGTAAATCCTGCTTTTTGTTACAGCCAATCGTCTACGAAGGTCAGGATAAGAACCCAGAAATGTGCAGAGTACTGTTAACCCATGAAGTAATGTGCAGGTTAGTTGTTATAAACATTTAGTTATGTCTATAGATGGTTTGAATTCTTGTTTAGTTCAATTAAACCGATATGTATTGAATCTCTTACTACTAATGGAGAATTAATTTTGAAATGAGACTCTACAATATCCATATTAACTTAAAATTAATACATGTTCATAAATGTTTAATCTGTCCAAAAACCTATGCAATAAAGCGATAAAACATAGAAAACAAAAAATGACTGAATATAAACCACACAAGATGTGCTGTTTTAAATTATTCTGGACAGATTCAGTATACGAAGACCTTTCCTAGTAGCCGTCTTTTCATTTCTTATAAAATTGTTATAAATAAGCAAAAATATGCAAGTCATAATTCCATTGCATTCAGCTTTTTGTCGAGTTTTGTGCTCACATAACAATTTATCATAGCACGTGTATTTTTAAAGGCACAGAAAAAGATTTTTTTTTTAAATCGACTCATTAAATTCAGCAAAATAAATGTATTTAATACATAATATAATAATTTTCGGAAGACACCTTTTCTTACATTTATTCCGTTACTTAAATAATATGTAAAGAATATCCATGTTCTTTCATCATTTTGTTTGGGGGTATATTTCCTGTCGTAACCGTAGCGCATCGTCTCGCCGGGCTATCGATGTGTTTGTGTTCGCAACACGTCGCGTTTGTGTTCGCAATTAAAATTTTATTCCACCTTAGACGTAGTTTTACCATCTCACCGTGCGCGATATGTGCGTCCCTGTTGTTCGTCTTCAGGGGAGGAGTCTCTGGGGAGTCTGTCCTTTCAATGTCTTTGCCCTTTGCGTCAAGGAGGCACGGTAGGGCGCGTGCAACATGCTCTTTCGCTTAGTATGGATAAGACTTTTGTAACCGATTATTTTTCTACTCTGTAATCAGACCAAACTGTAAGGTACGCATTTTTAAAACCTTTGTTTGTTTCAGTCGTTGTTGCGATAAGAAGAGCTGTGGCAATAGAAACGAAACGCCTTCAGATCCTGTTATAATTGATCGGTAAGTATTCTTATTAACACAAAAACTTTAAATAGATTTGAGTAAGTTTAGCATCTTCACGGCACTTTTCTATTTCCGACGTATTTTTAAACCTCCAACAAATTTAGTAAAAACTTATTTTCTCCCTAATATAATTTATGTTAATATATTTTCCGTCGCAATTAGCTCAGTTCGGTTTATTTTAGACCCGTCAAGCATGGCTGCCATCTCCAAACTTTGCGACATTGAATGCATTTTGCACGTAGTCCGAACTTTGGAATGCTGCCATTTTTTCATCGAAATTTGCATTCGTGCAATATATTATAATATGAGAATTTCAAGCTGAATAAGTTTTTAATTTATATGTTGTGGAAATTGTTGTTTTTTCATTCTTCACACTTACTAACCCCACTTTTTTATAATACCGTGGCATGTCTGGTTGGACCAATGTCTTCAACAAAATATCCTATAAAAGTTTAAAATACAATAGTTATAACAAAAAAAAATATCATATCATTTTATATCAGAATGGAAATTCTGTGGTGAGGTTCCATATGTGAGCAGCTAATTGCTAATAGGAAAATCAAAGCAATCACAACCAATATTTTGGTAGTTAATTCTAAAATAACAGTGAAGGGAGCAATTGTTAAAGGAAATGAACCTAAAACCTCAGGATATACGCGAATTGATTACACCGGGCCGTGAGTTGGTCGGCTCACGCTGCGCCATTCAGTCCCGGTACAAAGGCCCGGGCGGAGTGCGAGCTAATCAGGCTGACAAATATCGAAATTTCAATAGAAGTCGATGCGAGCACTATCCGCAGGGGGGTGAAAGGGAGGAGAGTGTCGCGGTGCTTTTATTTTGCGTCCTTTTTCGGGAATTCAATTGAGATAGGCGTCTCCCGTTTCGAACATCGTTCGATATTTTCGAATTTAGGGTTGAACAGATAGCTGCAAGAGATTGTTTGTTTTGGTGATCGGATTTTGTATTTCATAGTAATATCAGTTAACATGTAAAACTTTTTTTTACTGTATATACTTTTTCTATTAACTGCAAGGTAATAAGATAAGATTTGAATAATCAGCCCTGATTTAGAAATATAATATTTGTAATGTTTCGATTTATTTACTTTAATCAGCGAGTGTAGATTTTAAGTTACTTAAACCAAATTTTCTAAAGTTAGAATTAATCCATGTAATAATTAATAATTATCTTGTATATGCGAAAATGCCACCACAGCTTCCATTTATTTTCATTATGTAAATTTTAATGATATTGTACACCCCTATATCGAACGTTGGTTTTGTAATTCGTTCGATTCAAAATTTTTTGTGCTTTGAAAACAAAAAAAAATTAAATGACGGCCTTTGAACGAGAACTCTCCTTTGCTTTTCAACAGAGCATAAAGTTGATCCTGGAAATTTTGTAACAGAGAATAAACTTGTGATTTACGAACGTTTGATGTGTCTAAATTAAGCTCAGCTCAAACGTGTGATGGACTCCTTTATTTCATGCCAATGCAAATCGAGATTGCTAATGAATATTTATTATCAAATAAAAATCGATTTAAATAGGGTTTGGATAACATTTTCTTTAAATTACAATAGGACATAATTACATTTTCATTTAAATTTTATCTTCAATAATAACTTCTTGTTTTAACTGATAAACATAAGGGTTCGAATTTAATAACTAATTCAGAAATGGGTATAGTTGTAAATCAGTTTGAACTATTCTAATATTCTCATTTAGAAGGTGTAAGTACCAGTATGGGTAACAATTGCCACATGTTAAATCTTTAGTAGAAAAGCTACCGTGAACCAATTCGTAAATGTTAGTTAATAAATTTAAACTAAAATAAATAGTACGAATTTAAAACATAGGTTGGGAAAACAATCCATCAGACGTTGTGCCTCGCCCAGTATCATTCACATATAAACGACTCGTTCGTAATGTGATAATTGAAATTGTGCAATTGCGTGCAAAACGTCGGCGCCGAATTCATTACGCCACGCTTCACAATTTGTCTTTTTTTACATTTTTCGTACGCTGTTGTTGCCTGAGGAGCGATACCTTTTTTCGTTGATGTTTTAATTATTATATGCGTTAGTTTATTTAGCAAATGGACGGCTTTCCATGCCGGACATTTGTTGGGTCTTTAATTTAATATCCTTGGTCGTGATAATAATTATACGAGTTACTCGCACATGCAAACTTTTATCAGTGTCATCGTATAATTTATGATGGAAATTTATAAATGTGTCCGTGCAACGTGTTTTACGTACACATAATTTTTTACCCTAATAAAGTTTGTCAAGGGGTTTTCCACAAATAATCGTGTTGTAAAGTTGCTGTTTTTATGCAAGATTTGTTATGATATTATTGTAGAGCAAACGATAGGTGGTAATTTGGAAGTTTCGTAAACCTACCGTTTAAAATAATTCAACATTTCCAATATTTAGAAAAATATAATTTATACTAATAAAAAAGTACAATGGTTAATGGCACGTTGTACATATTAATAGAATTCATTATTGAAAATAATCAAATAATTCCAATTAGATCAAATCAAATCATCCAAGTTGTGATATGCATCAACTAATAACATAGGTATTGGTATAGGCGCTAGGCAAGGTAACGGATGAGCCACGGCAGATCACAGTCGGTCGTGGCAGCGGTAAAAGCGGCCAACAATCCAGAACCCTTCGAATCAGCAGCAATTTGTTAAGTGGATTTTTGCCCGAGACAAGCTCGCGGCTCGTTGCGCTCCTGTACACAATTTCATTATCTCTACCCGCTGCCCCGCTGCCCCGCGCGCGTCCCCCCGCGCCCCCAGTCGCCTCTACTATTAACTTATGCGATGCTGTATTTCAACTATGGAAATGTTTTTAAATTTATTTACCGCCATTTTCATATTCTGACGGTCATAAATACAACACATTCTATGTATCTCATCTTCATAAATGTTTTCATTCATTTCGGAGATTAAATTAGACATGACGCTCGTAAATCTAGTAAAGACAAATTACAGATTTCAATTATTATCGCAATAATTTTAATAATTACAATAGTTTCCAAAAAAACCCTTCTTGATCCAATCAATAGTATTGTTGTCAAAAAGTTTAAGCTCAGGTTGAAGAAAGATGAAGGGGATGTTACAAGCCGGGTTTTAGCAATCTGTTTGCAAACTGGTAGTTTCGCCACGTGCTGGGAACGAGAACGCCACGCTCCGTGTTGTTTTTATAGTTGTATTTCAATCAAGGCATTGAATTTGTTGTTTCGATTTTTAAAACAAACACATTTCGATATAACATCTACGCTAGTACGCAAAGTTAACGTAGCTAAGTTAGCTATTTACTTAAAACCATTCCAGTACAATATTCTTCATGACTTAAATACTTTTTTTTCTTAATAAAAAAAACCTAAAAATTCATTCCTTTCTTAAATGTCAAGTTAGTATTTTTGTAGTGAAGTCAAGGCCTTATCTAATTTTTAATTAAAAAAATTGTAATAATAAATATACTGGTTATGATAACATCCAATCGATGGAATAGCTACCACATATTATGGGGACAAGTACTTTAAAAGATGGACTTTCTAAATCAATTCATGCTCACGCAATCCGTCCCCCGTACGCAATCACTTAAGGGTTTTATGAAGCGTAATGATTAAGATGTTTTGTCGTGCTTGAATTTAAAACGATACATGACCGAGGGGTCGCCGTCACTCCAAGTAAACTGCATTGTTGCATTTAACATATTGTGACTCGGATTCCTATTAACGGATTAAAACCCCGTTACAATTTGTTCGCTCAATTTATTTAACAAGAAAGTGTGAATTTAATTCAATAAATCAACTCAGAGTAACGTAAGGTAACACTAGATAAGAAATATAACTAATTTTAATGACAAAGTTTTGTATAAACAATTTTATAGGTGGCGACAAAATATTTTTAAAATCATCGAAGGTTACTATCTCCGATAGTTTAAGGAATACTTAAATAGCCTCGTAGTATAGATCCCTAAGTGTGCCTTTAGATTACAAAATAGTTTGGCTGTGTATGTACTTGTTAGATTTTTTTTTAATCAAAAAAGTATTCGAGCAAAGACAAATAGTCGCACTGAGGCAAAAACTTGCAGCTCAGTCGACATATGGGCGACATCTAAATTACAATGGGATCTTTACACCCTATTTCGGGTGCGACAAAATCGATTCCCAATTCGATATGACCCTCTTGTACTCGCTATTTGATAAGTATATCCCATTTGGTAACTATTCATTTAATTGGTACGTCGATGTTTTTTTATTTTATTGTTATTGTAGATAAAAAGATGATAAAAACAATAAATATATTCGTAAATATAATGCAACTACATATTATTTTACACTTACTGCTTTTAAAGATATGTACTAACGAATTTAAATGATTGTCTCCATAAACATAATGGAGACTCTTCATTAATTGTGAGGATATCAAGTTTTCGGTCCATATTTATTTTATGTAAGACACTTATTCGATCAAAGCAAGATTGGTAACGTCTCTGATTTTTTTTTACCAAAAAGACGTGCAGTCTTCTGCATAAATACGTAACTGTAAACTGACATCATCATATCCCTTTTCTCTACGGTCAATCAGTACAGTAAGTACTAGTCTTCCATATTGTATCAGCCGTCGCATCTGAATTTACTCTCTTACTCATATCCACTTACACAAAATTCATTACTAATGATTATATGATCTTAAGTCTTAAATACGTACACTGACCTTAAACCATTTTATAAAAGTCGGTAGTAACTTAGTATTAAGGGTGGGTTATATTTAAGATGAGGTTACCTCGGCTGCAGTTTCCCGGTAATTTCGGGCGGCTCGAGCACCGGCGCGGGAGAATCACGGCTATTATATTATCTCATTAGACACGCCGCGCCGCCGCCTCTTGCCTTTTCGCCAGATAAATTCTTCTTTCTCCGCCGATTTCTCTATTACATTTTTTTCGAGTGTTCATTTAATTTATGTAGATGGG